TGATCAATAAACTGTCTGCACTTATATTTAGTGCTTTACAGTGTTTTCTCATTCACACACATCAAAGGACACTTCGGCTGTGGAGGGATCGAACCACCATCTGCTCTACCATCTGAGCCCCCGCAGCCTGGGTTTCTAGGGTTAGGGTTTCTATGCTTAGGGGTCTCTAGGGTTAGGGTTTCTATGGTTAGGGATTTTAGGGTTAGGGGTTTTAGGGTTAGGGGTTTCTATGGTTAGGGGTTTTAGGGTTAGGGGTTTCTATGGTTAGGGGTTTCTAGGGTTAGGGTTTCTATGCTTAGGGGTTTCTAGGGTTAGAGGTTTTAGGGTTAGGGTTTCTAGGGTTAGGGGTTTCTAGGGTTAGTGGTTTTAGGGTTAGGGTTTCTATGGTTCGGGGTTTCTAGGGCTGGGGGTTTTAGGGCTAGGGTTTCTATGGTTAGGGGTTTTCGGGTCAGGGTCTCTATGGTTAGGGGTTTTAGGGTTAGGGGTGTTAGGGTTTCTAGGTTAGGGTTTCTATGCTTAGGGGTTTCTAGGGTTAGGGGTTTTAGGGTTAGGGGTTTTAGGGTTAGGGTTTCTATGCTTAGGGGTTTCTAGGGTTAGTGGTTTTAGGGTTAGGGTTTCTAGGGTTAGGGGTTTTGTATGGTTAGGGGTTTCTATGGTTTGTGGTTGTAGGGCTAGGGTTTCTATGGTTCGGGGTTTCTAGGGTTAGGGGTTTTAGGGCTAGGGTTTCTAGGGTTAGGGGTTTCTTTGGTTAGGGGTTTTAGGGTCAGAGGTTTCTAGGGTTAGGGGTTTCTAGGGTTAGGGGTTTTAGGGTTAGGGTTTCTAGGGTTAGGGTTTCTAGGGTTAGGGGTTCTAGGTTTCTATGGTTAGCGGTTTCAGGGTTAGGGTTTCTATACTTAGGGGTTTCTAGGGTTAGGGGTTTCTGGGGTAGGGTTTCTAGGGTTAGGGGGTTTTTGCACCTGATGTGGAGCAGATGCCTTCAGATAACATGGCAGACCTGCAGTCATTCGCGATCAATGTAACATGATTATTGGCTTGATTCAATGTTTAACGCTGTGAGGAGCGAAGAATTAAAAACAAAGAGAATAACAATAAGTTTAGCTGATTTTAACTTTTTTATGAGTTGAACTTCAAGAGAAACAATCAATAATCAATCTGATATCATCACAACACAAATCAATAATCAATCTGATATCATCACAACACAAATTAGTCTCAATGAAACTAAAAGGCCCAAACTCTCAACACTGAGTCACAGATTCATGAATAAACTAATCAAGTAATTAATTGAATCATTACTAAACTGATCAATTGATAAGCAGAGTCATTCGTGAACTCAGGACTATCACTGATCGATGACCTCATCCTCCTGAGGGCTGACTGGAGGGTTGCCATGGTGACAGCAGGATGATGTCACAGAAGCTGCAGGAAGACGAGCAGAAGATGAAACTTGCACCAACATTTCAGCAGACATTCTAATTTCCACCAGCAGCAGTGACAACAGATGGTCACATGGAGGAGCTCAGTGTTTTGTTTCATCTCCGTTTTGTTCTCCACCACCTCCTGAGCCTCTTTCGCTTTTACAGTCTGCTGCTGCTCACACACTTTTACAGCTCGTATTCTGAAGACGGCTGACAGTAACTGAAAGCTCTGACAGTGAAGTTCAGGACAACAGCTGAACGATGAGCTGAAAAGTCAATGTGAAGCTAATGATCCTCTGCAGGTTCCACACAGTCCTGAACTGACCACATGACTTCATGGTGCTGCTGCCTTTAGGGCTTGAAACCAACCTGTCCATCCATCTGTCTCCTGGTCGTCCTCCTGGTCGGCTGCACTGTGACGCCTCTTCTCCTGTTACACAAAACAAGACTATTGGAATTTACCACATTTATATTTGTGTCAGCGTCATTCTGTGGTTTTTAAAGACATTTCACCTTCATTCACGATTCTTTGTCAGGTCTGATTGGTGAGGAGTTCCAGGTATTTATTCTCCCTTCCAAATCAATCACAACTCACATGAATCAGTGTGTTAATGGTTGTAAAACTGGTCAAGGTGCTGATGGTGGTGGAACTGTCTGGTGAGGACTCTTAGAATAAAGGATCTTTGTTGGTGAAAAACAAGACTGAAGGTGGGCTGTCAGTGTGGACTGAAGCAGTGGCAAGTATCATATATGAGTTTCACATCAAATATTTATTAGCTATGTATCAGTTTTATATGAATCATATGTTAGTTATTTATCAGTGATCAGCACTTTATCAAGCTGACTTATTGCTCTTAGGGTTAGGGTAACAGTGAATGGCTTTGATTGGAGGAGGAAGTGATTTATTGGAATAAAACTTGGATCAGCTGATCTCCATCTCACCTTTTTACTTTTGTCTTCTGCATTTCGTGGTTGGCAGCCACCTTCTGTCCAACCTCCCTGCTCTCTTGACTCTGCAGCAGCCAATGAGCATGAAGCTCAGCAGGAGGACACATCTGACACCATTATAATCGTCATTGTCATCCTTATCCTCCTCCTCCTCATCATCATCATCATCATCATCATCATCATCATCATCACATTTAAACCCACATTCAGTCCAAAACATTGATGGTCCAGAAATTCAAACATTGTGATTAAAACCTGAACTCTGATTATCAGCTGATGCATGTCATAGTCTGGTTGACGCACCTCTACGTTGGGCTGGGTCTATTTTATGGTGGCACTTCTCTACTTTGGGACAGGGCCCATTTCATTATATGTTGAGTTGAGTCTAATGGTGTTGTACCTCTCTGTTCTGCTGGGTTGATTTAATCGAATTACACCTCTGCGTTCTGTCAGGTGCAGCTTTGTGATGGGCTGGGTCTATTTAATAGTGTTGTACCTGTATTTTTGTGCCCTCGACTGGGACTAATTCCTGGACTGTCTCCAGGAATGCCACGGTTGTCTCCAGCACTGTTGCCATGTCAGCATGGCCCCCGTGGACTGCAGGAAGCAGCCGTCGCAGTGCGTTACAGCTCTGAGTGATGCGTTTCCTGTCAGGGAGATGACATCATCTCTTTTTGTTGTGAAGATTAATCGGAGGATAGAAGCCCCGCCCCCTCACCCTGATGAAAATAACTTTATTTGCATCACTTTTAAAAACTAACTACGATGTGGAAGAGACTTGAGGGCCGAGTCCGGGGAGCCTCCTGCACGGTGAGATGTCTCTCCAGGTGAACTCACCTGCTGCTCTTCACCTGTTGATTTGGATCAAGGTAACGCTGTGTTCGTCCTTCATCCTCCTCTTCAGGTGAGGCCGCTGTCAACAGAGTGTCGGAGTGGATTGTTGACAGAATTTGACCAGAACCAGAAACAGGCTCAGTGTGAGAACTAAGACCAGGAGCAGAACCCGAACCAGAACCAGGGCCAGGAAATGGTCTCATCCTTCTCTGCCTGCCGTCTTGCCTCATGAGCTGGATGTGAGAAAGAGAACGTGAACACCAGACACAGAGTTACAACATATTTACCCCAAAC